TTGCCATGAAACGCGTATTAAGAGTATATACTGTGGAAATACTTTACGCATTGCTCGCATAGCACGGTGTGCGCTTTAATCGTTGTAATTCGGTGTCAGATCCACCACCCGTGGTGCGGTGGACACAATATTCTAACAGTGTACAACGCGAGCCTGCAATCCTCAAAGCATCGTGGAGAGTTGGAGAGTTTCCTCCTCTCCGTTAATGTTCCCACTGGGACTGCGTGTCATCATTCTTGACTCTCTGTTCCGGTTTCACAAAAATTAAAGGGAAAACATTTATCATCATTGTAACGATTAAGAAACTCGTATTACATTTAAGGTTTTTTTTTTTTTGGTTACACATAAAAAGAAAGTAGAACGAACGATATTATCGCGTCGAAATTTTCGATGCTTTTATTTATTGAGATCATTTAGGGAAACTCAAAGAAAATTGCCAGAAAAATTGTTTGTAGCTTTTTAAAAACATTAATTAAAAATAAAACATCGAAGTGGTGCATAACGTTGCAATCTGAGATAAATACGCTTTGTCTTGCATGCATACATAGGCTTTTGAATCCATTGATTTCTTAAATAACTTGAATATGGTAGTTCTCCGATATTTTACGTGTAGTGTTTTTTCTGTGAGTTAGCGGTGACGTTAGCGGCCACAGGCCCACAGTCAGTAATAATTTCCTTCATTGGCACCATGTTTAAAATAAAAAATGTTTAAAAATAATTTTTTAAATATCTAGTTATTATATAAAGTGATGTAGTCAAAAACTGTTTTATTAATTAATGGTAACTTAAATTTTGAATTTAACCAGTTTAAATCTTAAGAAGATAAGCACTAGAGTAAAATAATTATGTAACTAAGGCAACTAAGTGAGTTAAGATATGAGATGAACAATCAAAACCCCAGTTAGTGAAGTATGTGACGGATACTAAACAATTTCATTTTAACTATTCGGGCTGCACGGATGTTCATGTTGCATACGCACGTTTGAGTGAAGGCGTCCAGACTGAGACACACTAAATAAACGCGTCACCAGCGGCGCTCAGCCGAGCGAGTGAAAACCTTAAAAGCTCTTGATGTGAAGGGAATAACATCAAAATTTGCAGTTTTGGCCGAAAATATCATGTCCAACCTTTCTGAAAGGCTCATTTTCATTGTGCGTCAGTCTTTGCTGCGAGGATCTCAAATGCCAGAGTGTCTTCATTATTTATACTTGTTACTGTGTTCATGTATGCTTAATTCATATTTCATTCATACTCTTAGAAATGAATAGTTGCGCTACAAATCAGGCTCGCACATAGTGATATCAAAACTGAAGCACAAAATATATTCACATCTAACGCTTTTATAAAAATATTTATAGTAAAAACGAAGAAGTAGTAAAGCGCTCCGGCATTTTGCACCCTCCCAGTAAAGCTCACCCTTGTCGCCGTGCGGTGGGCGGAGGAAGTGGTGCGTGCCTGGACAATCAAAACGCCTTCACTCCCGCGCGTATGCAACACGGACATCCATAGAGCCCGAATAGTTGCATCTAGGAGTTATAATGAGTGTTCCTCCCATTTCGAGATGTCTTCGGGAGCTTTGCTCATTTTTGCGACCACCGTGCATGAAATCCAGCGTTGTCTATTGTGCGTTGAAGTAAACTATTATTGCTTTATATGGAAACATTATCAATTTTCCGAATAATGCTTTGGTTATTCAATTATATAAACACATTGCCGTCCTAAAATGTGAGCTGCGGCTTCAATCTTCTCAGATCTAAGAACGATGGACGCGGCAAAGTCGTCCTATGGGTCGTTTCACTAAGAATTTGAGCCCTCAATTTTTGCTCATTTGATTCTTTTTTTCTTTTTTTCTGTTTTTTTCTTTTTGCTAAAGCATTAGAAAAAAGTCCAGTAAATGAATTAGTACTTTTAAGTGGGGTGGGAGTCCATTTTTCAATATTGTTCTTTTCCCCTTTTTTGGCGCGTATACGTAGTATACCGCCTTTGCGATCGTTTCGACCCCCCCCCCCCCACAATAACCGAGTCCCCTAGTTCCTTACCGAAAAGTGACTACCGCGAACTTCTGAGATTTTCCAAAGCGTGTAAAAAGTTTACTAATCCGTCAATAATAATGATTAAAATTTGTTTCTCATTCTGGGGCTCGCTAGTTTATGTGTAATGAATACCAAGAGTCTACGTTTCTTGGTTTTTTTTAAAAAAACCTTAGAATGGGGCGCGCTGATTTAAAATATGCATATATAAGCGGAAGCAAGCGAACTGATTCGAGGATGGCTGACCAGTTCGGCACTCCTTGAATGAGAATTTCACTCACTCCGTTTTGTTCACAACGTTGCTTTGACATATCTCCACAACACTGTTATCCTTTTCAAAAGTTGGTACTCCTTGCTCTGATAGCCGGGGCCACCAGGATAGTGGTAAGTGCAATCTGTGATGAGCCTCGAGACTCATTAGACCATTTGCTAAACGTGGCTCATACAGGAGTCCACTAAGCCCTCTCGTCCCCACGCTCCTGATCACTGCGTCGGCGTCACGAAGAACAATGGGCCTTGGGTCCCAACGCGGCCGATACCCGTACCCCAATTACTCACGCTTCATTAACCATTTCACCGTCACGCTAGGATTCATCCAATTTTCAAAAAAAATTGTTTCGCATGTATTTAGCAATTTTTTCCTTACTCTCCGTTAAAACACAAATAAAAAGAGACCTCATTCATAAAAATCGGCCGAATAGAAGAGAAGTTACAGTAATCGAAATCCGAAGAAATCAACAAAACCTCGACTCCTCGATACGAAAAATAAAATGAAGGGGAAAAAAAGAAAGTATAAATTACAATTAAATATAATTGACCTCAAAATTTGACAAACAATTCATTTATATACCTAACGCTGAAAAAACTGGGAGAAATTACAAAAAATTTGCCTCTTGCAAGGGGCTTCTTTGTAAGAATTTTGACCTGAAGACAACGGTCGAATAACAGCAGTACTCCATACAATACACGGTGTGCCTGAACGAGTTAAACATTTTTCATACGTCCAAATCGAAAAATCTTTATATTTTTAACTACAATGTTTCTTGAATCGTTTAAGCAAAAAAAAAAAAAAAAAAAATTCCGTCGAGATTCTGGAACGCAAAGGCGCTTTAAAAGTATTCTGGGGCTATAATAGCTAAATCACCGGTAGTAAATTCGTTATATTATTAAAAAGAAATTGACTCCATAGTTTAATTCCTTAGTTTCTTGAATACGATTATTTTAAGCACTTAAACATTTATACCACCAATTTTAGCCATGGGGTGATTTCCTGAGAGCCGATAATATCACGAATTTCTCATAGAACCCCTCAACAGTGGCTTGCTTTTTTGGCAGCCGATTCGGCCATCGAACCGGAGTTTAAATGGAAGCTGATAATAACCCAAAGCTCTGAGAAAAATTTTGAGATGAGTATAAGAACGGTTTGTTGTAAGTAGCGAGGAGAGGCGGGCAAAGCGGCTAAAATCCTATCTAATTTTTACAGTTTTTCTGTTGAATTAATGTTGCCGCGGGCTTCTGACTGTCCACACATAGTTCTGTTCAGCATATCGATACATAAGTATTTACATTTTACATACGTAGAATCTAATTTTCACGTCGGGGAGTTGACATATTTTGATTTTTTCGATTTTATACGGAAAATTGATGGTTTTTCGGGATTGAAATTATTATTGTTTCATGAAAAATAAATGCACCCAAAATGACTATAGCATATTGATTCTTACACATTTGCACTCACAAAATTGGTTGGTAAATTCAACGAGTGGGTGCATCGACCTGGTATATCAAGTTTCTGCAATTTTTTACGGCAAATCAGTAGATTTTCGGGATGTAGATTGCTTACTTTCAATTCATGAATGAATAAAGCAACGACATGGTTGAACTTCTTTGCATGGAAAGACGTTTAAAATAACAAAATCAAGACGTATTTAATGCAATTGCATTTATATCGAGTCAATTTCTTTTCAATAATATAACGGGATTTTTACTACCGGTGATTTGGGTATTTTAGCCCCAAAATACCTTTAAATCGACTTTATCTTCTAGGAGTTCGACAGAATTTTTCCTTTCTTCGCTTAAATTATTCCGTAGCACTTTTCTTCAAGAATCTGATAAGATTTTGCTTGAGGCAGATCAAAAAACTTAAATTCGATCGAATAGCTTTCTACTTTCACAATACACGGTCTCGTCAAGGTGCGTCTTTGACCTCGCAGTGTTGGATCGTGAATTCTCTTTTTATGCTGTTTGCCTATTTTGAAATCTCTGTAAATGAAAACTAAAGGGGTTGATATGTGCGAGTTAATGACGCGCCTTATCAACACATTGTGTTGGAGTTCACTGCTTGTTTTTGCAATGTTCAACTCTTTGGCTTTCCTTACCATATTCTGTGCAGTGCCGACCAATTTGGTAGTTTTTTTTTTCTTAAATAATAAAACATGAAAGGGAAATGTGCAATACTTTAGTGCAGTCAGTATATTTTGTTACTTTTTGGTCGAAGGTGTCCTACCGTCAATATTTTATCCGATCACACATGGTGACTCGTCATAGAAAGAGGAGGCTGTTTATCGAGAGAAATGTTAGATCTGGCCCGCTCGAAAACGATACGATCGAAATGGAAGATACCGCGGATAAAAATACCGGAAAAGCTCGAGTGAGGGAATTTGGAAAGTTGTTAAATGAGATATTTCGGCAGTAATCCGGTATGGACCCCTTTCATCCTCGCGAGTGTGAGTTTTAATTATCATATTATTTCACGCGTCTGACCAAAGCACTGGCGTGGCAAACGAAGCTCGACACAAGCGCAGGTAAGATCGCACTTAGCTACAGTTTTTCTAGTTAGGAGCATGTGAGAGTGATGCTCTGCTTAATTACATTTTTCGTCTCGGTACAGTCTCGGTCTTGGTGCTGAGTATCTTTTGATTTTCTTTCACTACTAAGTTCTTCTCTTAAACGTGAGTTCTGTGCGCTGACTACTATAGATATTCATTGTGGTTGTCAAAACTACCCATCTCAAGGATTAATAGTACCAGTGACTTTTCATCGTTCTGTGCCTGGAAATGAACATTTCGAGTCAAAGGTAAGTAAATAAAAGTATTGGTTTGTCTGTAACTGATTGGTGCATACTCCGGTTTGTTTTTCTCGTGATATTTTAAAAATATTTCCAAGATTTTAAAAAAGTAACTTTACATTAATTTTGTCTTATGATTAGTATATTGTTCTTAATATTGTTTTGTACAAAAATACAATTAAAAGGGTTAAATGTTTTAAATAAAACGAATAGCAAAATATGCAAAAAAAAGTTCCAAACTCGCAAACCAACAATGCACACATATGTTTCATCCCATAGGTATTACCGCACATACATAATGATCCCTCCTAAATCAACAATTTTAACTGGCATCTCGTTTTTCCAAAATTAAATAAAAAAAAAGAAGAACGGAAAGCTTCTTTCTTGTATAAGGCTCTCTTAAGTTTATTTGTTTATCATTGATATTCATCCCGTCTGATACCCCCATTTAAGTCATTTTGAAATAATAGGGAAAAACCGCGAATCGGCCCCGCATTGATTCCAATATAAATCGCAATTTTTGAAACTATATATCTCATTACCGGCGTAAGATACAGGTATCAAATTTTCTCCACACGCGGAACTGTCATTAGAGATTTGCAAAACGCCACAACCTCGATTTTTTTAATGAAATGAGTTGGATACCTCTCAGCTCTAGGGTACCTATATATGATCCCCAAGAAATCTAGTAACCAGTCCTCATAGGTTTTTGTCAGTGTTGATCATAGATCAACTTACGTTAACCATTCACACGATAAGCAACGTTAGAAGTCTAGCCTCGCCTACTAAATTTCCTGGGGATCGTGTATCACGAATCGAGTGGTCACTAACGTTCTTTTTTTCGGTGCAGGAAAACCCACTGACCAGCGGGCTGATTATGGAAATTGATAGATAAAGCGATAGACAAAGAAGACATAGGGAGTATGAAGTGATCCCATCGGTTGAAATGGGTGGTCCCTACAGACTGAGGAAAAAATTGATGGACTAACTAAAGGGCCCTCTAGTTAGTGTTAGTTCGTCTATCACCTACCTCTTTTGTCATTGCAACCACCCGACTCCACCAATAAGATCTCTCCGTATTCCTTTTGTCCTCTTTGTCCATAGATTTGTCTATCAATTTCAATAATCGACCCACTGTTCAAGTCGTAATGCAATTTAAGCCTGGCAAATACGAAAATATTAATTATAAAAATGGCAAATATTCTATGCAAATGCGAGACCTATATGCGGCAACATCGCCTTTTGCTCTTAATTGCGGTTTCTTGAGGTGATGAGCGATGTCGCTGGGCAAACAATGATCGGGATGTTACGTTGACAGGATTTCTGCCGAGGCGCCGCGGCTGGTCGAGAGATAGAGCCTGTTTGTCATCTGGAGCATTTGATTTTATCCATCCAATGCCCCTGATGATCCGATTTGATGTAAAATCCCGGCAACCTCTGGCGTATCTATATCGGCAAGAAGAAGTCCGAGGCAGTAGCGACCGCATTACAGTCACTTTCTGAGTTTACCGCGAGTTCTTGACACCCTTTGTTTGAAAGTGAAGACTGTAAATTGTGATCGGTATTTTAGTGTATTTCCTTTTTTTTGCAAATAGTATGGTTTTTGGTTTATTCGTCTTTGTTAGCACTCATGCACGCAATGGTTTTTCTTCCACGCCAAAATGGACAGCATTTTGCAATAAGGAACTACAATTTCGGGCTCTTACATAAAAACACCTATCTTTATTGGAAAAGTAATGACACACATGTTGTACCTATGTTAAGCTAGAAATTGTAGTTCTTGATGGTAAAATGTGGTCCAAATACACTACATCATGTTTGAATCTGTTTCTCTTATATTTAAGCCCACAAAGCTTTTCTAAAGAATTATATTTCTGATAGCACGAGGGGGAAAAACATAACACAACAAAATTAAAATTTAAGGAACTGAAAAGAATTTATTGATGGCATTACTTATCCTGCTACCCCATTGCCCCAGAACTTGAAATCTTTGAGGCTGGGACCCAATTGAAATGAAAAAGGACTTTCAAAAATGAAATGGGACTAACAAAATAAAAGGAGAAACCTAGGTGGTTTGGCTGGTGACCCATCTATCACCACTTATCGCATAAAAGTAGATAAATTTTAAAAATTCCAAATGCTGTCTTACCTCTAAATTTTAAAATTGCATATATTATTCATTTTTTTCTGCCAAACGATGATGGCTGAGTCAAGACAGCCGAATATTTTTGTTATTTATTCGTCTACTCTGCCTCTGTTCTGTTACTATTTTATTTAATCTGTGAATGTTTGAACAATGTAAACTTTGAAAGGGACGTCGAATGTTCATCGGTTCAAATTTTTAGAATGACACCAAAGTGGGGTAAAACTAATTTTAAAATCTATAACAAGATGATTTGGCAACGCAACACTGGCATAAATGCGTAGAAGCGTAAAGATGAGTAACCGAGAAAGAAAGTGAAACAAAGCTAACACAGCCTAACTAATTGCAATCGCCAGGGTTACTGAGCTTATGCCATTCGGTGTCTCTACTTTGCGCTATGCATTTATTCGCTCGTTCAAGGACGAGATGCTAGTTGCTCTCATGTTTTCCGTATGTAATATAAACAATTGTAGGATACGCAAAGTAAACGGTAAACGTCAAAACTTGGAACAAATAATCATTGAAGTCAAGAAAAATTGTTATCCGAGGGAAAAATGCAGGTCCCCGAGTACAAATGTCAAAAGCAGGTATTTTCGGATATTCTTGCATTTTTTTAAAATTAGCTCCATAAAAATAAATCTTGATTCCTATCTGGATGTCTCAGAAGAAATGATGATTAAACCTTAAAGAAAGCTCACACTTATGGGACTGCATAAAATAAAAAGAAGCCAGGTCACTTCTTCATTTACGAATTTGGCAAAAAATGAGTTACAAGTAATTAAAAACTCAACCAGCCGGATATTTCTACTTATCAAAATTTATTTAAGAAGCACGCGATCAATATTTTCAAAGTAAGAACTAACAAAAAATGATTCTTCTGCGGAAATAACAAAGCTTTGAACTTTTTTTCTCGGTCTAATCTTGATTTAACTTGGCTTTTTCCTTTAAAATTCGGTCCAACCCATTTATCAGGTAAGAACAATATGCTTTGGAGATAAACGCACGGATTATCCCTTGACCAATAAATTTATATTATTTCGAAATACTGACAGAATGATTGCTTGAAATTCATATTTTGGAATTATGAGACAGGAAATGAAATGGAGTTTCACAAAATTACAAGATATTAAAATTACCGGTGAAAAATTGAGGACAATTTTTGCATTTTTCTTAGGATAACAATGCAAATGGGGTATTTTCAAACTTAAACTACGCACAAGTAATTTTTATCTGTGTATGGCTCTTCATTAATGTTTCATTCATTGATTGATGATGTATTGCAAGTGTGTTTCAGTGATCAAAGTTTTAATGTTTGCTCATAGGATTTGCTGAAGATGGTGGTGAAAAATGTTAGAAGATGACAGCGAATGTTTGCGAGCTAGTTCTACGCCATCTTTGGCCTCCCTCCCTGTCCATAAAAATAGAAAAACGGGAGTGCATTTTGGAATATACAGGGAGAAAACTGTACCAGAGTACTTGGTGCCGAAAAAACCACGAGTAAATCTTCACCATTCCAGAATCGTCATACTCACCATCATGGCATCCGGCATTATCCTTGTGGTGAGTTGATCTCTGGAGGCTAATTTTATTTTCAGAAGGCTATTTTCCTAAATAATGATAATAGAGCTACAAATTACGGTATAACTCATATGCCCGTTTATCAGTTGAGCATCATTGGAACATTAAACAAGTGGAATGTATGGAAGCATCGACTATTTTAGTTCCCATTTATTTTTTTATAAAACAGGTAAAAACAAACAAGGAAGAAAAAACACGTAAGATTCTCAGAGTCTCACAGGCAGCTATTCTTTGAATCTCGGGTCCATTCTCTGCTTAGATCGTCCCTCTTATATCACATATTCACATACATATTCTCTGGTCAACTTGCAGCCCTAGTAGCCTAGTTAGGCCAAGAGTCCTCACTCGATTTTTTGCTGAAATTTTGATAATGATTGAACAGAAAGAATGAATTAAGAGCGTTATTGCGTAATTTTTCTCGAATATGGTGAACATTTAATGATAGATAAAGTGCTAAGAGGACTTACATACTGACTTAACTCATAAACTGTATATAACAATATTCTGCATACTTTTATTGTAAGTTTCGTCAAAACTAATGACTGCTCTAAGTCAAAGTCTAATTTTCAATGCGTAAAATTCTGATAGACAAATATTTAAGAGAATGACAAATATTTAGTAAAACTGCCGATGAGCTATTGAACAGTGAACACTCTCTCTAGAATGGTACGTGTATTGAGTCATTCAGGTCAATTGAAAAATTACTTATCATCACAAGAATCAGGCATTATATTCAAAATAAAATCTATTTGAATGCCTAATTTTCAAATTTTTCGTTTCAGATATGTTTGACACTACTTGATTTTACGATGACTCAAACGAGAAGTGTTCCAGTAATCCATTATGCTCGATATCGCCTCGAAAAAAATTCCAACCAAAATTCTCAGGACTCCAAACCCAGGAGACATAACTACACGCAAGCCGACCCTAAGTCTGACCTTCTCCTGTATAGTTCTCCGTTGAGCATAAGAAAATCAAACTCCTCCGGTTGCTCCCACTGCGGCTCAGAAAATGAAGAGAGTTTAGCAGATGTGAAACAAATTCCCTCGGTAAGCCGAAGTAAGAGAATCCCTTTCGTTAGCAGCGAGACCGATAATGTGAGTGATGAATTTCATGCTGTCGATTTTCAGAGTCAAAAACTAAAAAGCCATGAAGATAAAAGCATCACAGAGGATAAAGCTCACCATTCAAATGGTAATATGGAAGGTATTTTAAAGCGGAAAGAAAAAGCATCACTAATCAATGACACTAGTATAACACTTTTATCTGATGGTATCGACACAACCCAACAAATTTTAGCCGAGACCGAAATCCCTGATATCAACAAAACAGATCTTTACACACATGAGAATACTGAGGAGTTTTCGACAAGTTCAACAGACTCTTGGACCGAACGAACATCACCACAAAGCGAGAAAGAACTCTCTAAAATGTTTGAAGGATCAACAGAGTCATGGACCGAAAAAATACCATTTGAGGACGAAGAATTCCGGATGGGATCTGAAGAGGGTGATCCGAGTCATAATTTACACTATGTCTACGTCGAGCCAAAAAAACCGGCGTACGTTACCCCTATTCCGGAGAGCCAAAATCCGGAACCGGAGATTCGAACCACGATCGCTCCGGAAAACCACCGTAGATTCCCAGCACGCCCACGCAGTCGACCCGCAAAGCTCTACTCGAAAAGAAAAAGCCCCAACTCACGGTCCAACGGTGCTCGGGCCCTACCGCAAATCCAAATCCTCGAAAGTGATTCATCTCAACAGCCACAAAAGTTGGAATTGATCAGCCCTCAAGTCACACTCGAAAAAGGAGGCGTGTTCGAAGATGATTCTTTTCCGGACCCGAACCCTGCACCAAAGTCGGAAACGCGACCTATGGAACGACGCATATCTTTCGCCGATTTCGAAGAGTACCCGCAACTTTCCAACTATAAAAATTTGGACCACGTCAAAAGTGTTATGGACATTATACAATATTTAAACACAGAGAGCCCGTTCGAAGGAACCTCAAAAGACAAACTTGCATCAAATTCCGGTTCCAGACGTAAAGAACGCCACAGGCAACGGACCAACGCCCGCGCTGAAACACAGAATGAACCGACTGATGACCCGTATACCGCTGTCGAGACCGTGGAGAAAGAACTCACCTATCCTCCTGATTTCGGTGACACACGCCCGGTGGATAATTTCGTCCCTTTGCGGAAACGCATCGGCTCCAAGCGTTACGATTTTGACGCAGCCAAAAATCAAGAGTCTAATGATTATTTGACTTCGGATTTGGGTGACATTCACAGTCCCGTCATTCCTGACGACCCGGAACCTTCGAAAATTTTGGACGATCGAGCTCAGACCTCGGTCCCCGATTTTATCGAGGTCGGTCACGCTGACCGAGCGAATTCCACCCCTGAGGATATTAGGGGCGATAAAATTCAATTGCCTGATGGTTTTGAAATGTCTAAAGACGGCTTGGAACATAGGTCCAATCCTTTTCCGATCGACAAAATTAACAGCGAATTTGGTGGTAATCGGTACCAAGATGACGCTCATGGAACCTCGGAGGGAAAGGATTCTTCGAAACAGCGAGGTCAGTCCGTGAGGCATGCTAACCCAAAAAAATGGAACCAAGAATTGAGGTATGTATTGATTCTGCTGTCTTTGTAAAGTAAGCTAAAACAATAGGTAAGCTTTTGAGTTTTTTTCATGTATTTGAATTTGAATGTATTTTTTTAAATACTCACATACTGGATTTAAACCTTTTTTTTTAAAGTTTTATAAGCGGGTTTTTTGTCTCATTTTTTCTTGTATCTTAAAATACAGGGCCTATTAACTGAGAACATTTGTATGCCCTCCCCCAGTTTCCAGAGAGGGATTCCTTCCTTTTTTTCTGTGGTAATAACAAGGAAGGATATTGAAGCAAAATTTACGTAACTAATTAGGGGAGGGGGATCGGGCCCAGTGTTACGATTACGTAACAAGGGTTCGATGGGTGTCAAAAAATCCGAAAAATTGCACTAAGTAAATCATAGACAGCTACTCGTGGACTCAAACTTTTAGCCCCCTCAAACTTCTAACCTCTTACTCTCGGTTCTAATTCGATGCAACCCGATTTCAGTGGCGATTTTGCAAGTTGGCAATACTGTTTTTCCTCCATTTAAACCCATTGAAAATATCGATTTAAGTTGAGGCAAGCTGCCTCACCTAAAATCGATTGTTTTACGCACATTTAAATGGAGAAAAAGCTGTATTGCCAACTTTCAAGAATCGCCATTGTCGAAAGTGTCGGTAAGTCTCTATCAAACTCGGCCAATTTTCAGCATGACGATTTAGTTATAAATCTGCCTTCCTTTTTCCACAGGTTCGACACACCATCTAAAAACAGCGGAAGCACCGTTGAGTCCCCGGACCCGACTCTCTTCCTGCCCAACTTTTACGGGTCAGACACCGCGTCGTACTACGCGATGAACCCGTCGAGCTTCCTCTACGACGCCGTAACCGAGGACCACTCGGAGCGTCGCGAGCAGCGGAACCCCGCCGCTGGACTCGGCAACTACAACGACTTGTACACAGCCTTTAAGCCTTCTGACGTATCAGAAATCAACAACCTCATGCCGGCGAACATGTTGGACGAGGACTACCCTCCACCCCCCGCACGTCCACTGCTCGCAGACTCCCCCGACCCCTATCTCAAAGCACCGCCGATGATTCTGGATTACATCCCTCGATTGTCGCCATCCTCTGTCCACACCTCGGAGATCTCCAGGAAGTTCGGCTCCGTTGGGGTGCCGGGCGACAACTCGACGAGGGAGAGGGTGGAAATCACGGGGCCTGATTTGAGTGGCACCCAGGCCACGCATGCCAATGATCAAATCCTAAGGGTAGCTGAAGGACCAGCAACCTCGGGTCAAGGTAAAGTCGTAGATAGAAAATCCAAGACGCATCTCTTTTACTTGTGATCTCCTGAATTATTAAGGCTCTTAAGTTCCCAGAGAGAGTATATCGATGGTGAAATTCTCAAACCACGTATCCCGGTCCATGACGTTGCATACTTCCTGGCATTCTTTATTTTTCTAATTGAAAACTACTCATCGTCAATTATTGAACACTTTCGTACACTTTTCCTCTCTGTGCGTAGAAAACTTTATGAAAACTTCAAGGAATGATATTGATTTGTTCCGCCTTAAAGAAATAAAATGGGAGCGGAGAGTTTTAAACACCGCAAACGAGATACGTAGTTTAGTACTTTCACTGTAAATATGTATTTCTATTCTGAAACCGCAAAAATAGCATGACACGGTTTCCAATGTTACAAACTTCCTGTCATACTGTAATATGTAAGAGAATGAATACTTACTCAATATCATTTCTTGAAAATTTTCCTGATTTTCCTCTTCGTTTGATTAGTATTCTGTGAAAATGTCAATTTCATTATTCTGAAGCCGAAAAAACAAGTAGCGTATTTGCTGATTGCCGGTAACATATTAAACGTATAATAGCTCTTACCTGAGCAACATAGATGGCACAAAAACAAAAAATCGATATTACTGCTTAACTTGATTTTACATTGTCATACCTGTGTGGAGCAACACGGTATCAATTTTTTCTTACAGGTCGGTGAAATTAATTCTTTGATTATTATTTGTTTTCCTAGGAACTCAGGCTGCGATCAACATTTTTCCCCAATCATCGAATAACATTCCTGACGACGAAATGAAAGATCATTTAGTTCCACCTTTACCGGATGAGAAGTCTATCTATTACCAAGAGCAAAGTGCTCTACCGCCATGGGATTCCAATTTCCAGACCAGTAGTATTAGAAAACATGATTATCGCGAGCAACAACAACCGCATGACCTGTTGATTTCAACAAATCAATCGGTCTATAATAATCAGTAAGTCTTTTGTATGAAAGCAATTCTAATCATATCGATTCCTTTTGCTTCCTTAATTAAGATCGCCGATGCGCGATTAAAAATTTGTAAAAGAGTTGAGTTCAAATACAGTAAAAAAAAAAAAAAAAAAAAAAAAAAAAAAAAAAAAAAAAAAAAAATCAGTAGTAGCATGATATACAATTTCATACCTCCAAAAAACCTATTAACCACGTCTCTTTCGCTCAATTTTTTGTCTTCCAACAGATGCGATTGTTCATCAGTTCAATGAAGATAATAGAGTTTTGCTGCCTTTAACCAGTAGCCAGTCAGTTGCACTACCTTTACCAAAAGTGCTCCTTCTTTTGAAGTTAAAAAAAAAATAACAAAAAAATGAAGGAATATGAACCCTAAAAATTCCTCTCTTGGTTCTTTCTCTTTTCCCTCTCTCTCCCTCTCCCTCTCCCTCCCCTCCCTTCCTCTCATCCATTTATCTTCATTATCAAGTAAAGCCTGAATCCCTGATCCCATTCTATGTGAACCAGTTCATTTGTCTTTCAATCCGGTGAGGATCATATTTTTTGACACAATCGCACCTGCATCACATTGGGTGGGAAACAAATCTTGTAACTTCTGATCAATAATCGATAATTGGAACTAGCTTTTAAAATAATGACACCTTCCGTAAATTTAAAAGTTACGAAAAAATATCAAATCCATGGACAGTAATTCAGTTTAAATTATGTGTGTATTTTTGTACAGGGGCAGGGAGACGAGGCACCAGATGGACATCGGTGGGCGTCCACCTGCTCAGCAGCAAGTGCAAAAAGAAAATCAGGAGCTTTCGACGTCTCCCGCTCACACTCACACTCGCACACACGTGCGTGCGCGGGTGCGGAGTAAAAAGCGGAACCGAATCAGATACCAAAATCCGAGTCCCCCGCCGGCGCAACCGTTGCCGCCGTACCATCAGCATCAGCCGCCCACCGCCCTCGCCATGACCAACGCCACGCAAGGTGAGCCCAGTCGCTCTCATAATCTCGTTATCATGATTCGTCAATGTTTGCAGAGCTAATGCGCTTTCGTCCAGAGTAGGGGCCGTAAACTACCGTGCTGAGGAGGAACGCCGTATGGACCCTCAAGCATTGTCATATTTTCTTTGATAAAACGCGAAATCCTGGTAAATTTATGAATATTTTCCTCTCAATCTTCCGGATAATTTAATTCGCAATTTTACTCAATATTCTGGAAATATAAAGAAAAAATATTCATAACTTTCCTAAAAAATAAACATTTTATCGAGGGGAATTTGGCAGCTCTCGAATGTTCATACTGCGTCCTTCCTTAGCACGGCAGAGTAGGGGCCGTACACTACTGTGCTAAGGTAGAACGCCGCATGAGCCTTCAGGCGTTGCCAAATCTCATTTGGCAAATCATGAATTTTTAGGCAAATTTTTAAATATTTTTTATTCGTTTTTTTTTTTTTTTTTTTAGAATTTGGCCCGTGATTTGATCCCGAATACCTCAAAATTTCAAGGGGAAAAATTCATAGAGTTCCTCAAAATGAAGTATTTTCTGGGAAGCAATTTGGAAACATTCGAATGCTCATAAGGCGTTTCCTTAGCATGGCAGTATTCATAGTCGTTCCTTAAACGGTTTTATCCTTGGGAGTCTCTATATGGTTTACATTGTGGTCAAAGGGTTTTTTTTATGGTGATCCTGAACATCGCATCACAAAACGGAAAATTCCAAGGAATTCCGAGTGGAATTGGACGTATTAAAATCAAAAGGAACTTCATTCATTCCGACATTAGCTCTGAGATTCATTAAAATACATGCATGATAAGGCTTACACCGAAAAAAATAATATGCTGTTTTAGCATCTGGGATGTCAAAAATGTGTCTGGTGATCCCAAGTTGCTGCCTTTACTGCCCCCGCGGTTAATTTTACATCCTGTGAATGCAAATTCAACTGCGGGGGCAGTAAAGGCAGCATCTTGGGATCACCAGACACATTTTTGACATCCTAGATGCTAAAACAGCATATTATTTTTTTCGGTGTATGTCACGATGGGTATAGTTTCTGTTGCTTTATATGCGCCAAATTCTACAGAATAACCTCGATAAATACCAAGGAGACTTAAACGCAGGGTCAGGAAAAAGCGCTAAATGGATCATTGAGAGGGATTCCGTTGATTTGCCTTCTACATAGAATTAATAAAAACACAAATGAAACGTATTCGTCGGTTTTGGGCATTATAAACAACTTTTTAGGTTAGCCTCTTTAGGGACCTACCTCAAAGTGCTTTAAAAGTATAACATTTTCCCTCTGTCTTTTCCATTTTCTTGTGGTGCTACATCAGTGTTATTATTCCTTATGTTATTCATTTTAGAATTTCTTCCGTTGAACATTCCTCGAGAAGTGTAAAAATTGTCCTTTTTAAATGATGATACGTTAAGAATTTTTCGGAACCTTCCTCCTTTTAAGGGGCTTACGAGACAAGTGAGATAATTGTAGTTTTTGAAAAAGTTGAGAGATTAATAATTTTTACTAAAACTAGTCTTAAAATGCAATCTGTGAACATTTACCGGTAAGATAAAATTTTCAAGCATCCAAAAGTAAGTTTAAACTTTCATTCTACCACAAGGCTCTATGTAATTTTACTTTAATCCTGTTTTTCTTTGAGTAGCAAAAACTGCACTTTTCCCACATGCCCCTCAAGTTCTTTAATTGAACATACGGGTCTGACCCTCGATGAATATGTCTATCTGAAGGAGTGTACCTCAAAAATAAATTCGACCAAAGAAAAAGTAATTTTTCCTTTCTATTGAAAAAATATATAAAATTTTAAGGAATAATATCAATAATAGTTTTCAAAAGTGATTTTGCACAATATCACTCGAATAAAAACGCTGAATTTCAATTTTAGACAGCAAAATTATGATATTTGTTTAAAATGTATCTTAAGTCTCTATTTAAATACTCTTTTGTTACCCAGCCGAAACATAAGAGCCCTACCCAAATTTTAAAATCATTGGGTCCAAAGGCTGTCATAAAATTTTTCAAGTGTCAAATGTTTTTCGCGGAATTATAAAAACGTTACTGAAATTCCTCATCTATAACACTCTTTTTTATGGGTACCACTTTGATAATTTATTACGTGCGCTGTTTTTTTTCTAGTTTACAATTTTCACCGTTGGATTGCATTTATGAATATTTTCATATTTATCATCTACTGAATTTTCTTTTCAGATACCCAGGATGCTGAAAGTACGGCAGTCTGATATGGAACAACAATTACACAGAGACGGGTCAATTTTCTGGTTACTGGAACTGCTCTATTTTTTAATTTTTTTCTAATGATGATGTATAAGTCTTGAGATCAAGTGGGATTCACGGTGATTCACCTAAGTACAAGGGTCCTTCAGATAACCTCGCATTTTAAATAAACCCTCTGAACGACCCTCGTAATCAAGAATAACTTTAATGAGCAAATCCTCTGATTAGCCAACTTAATTTTCGTATTCCTAAGCATCTAATTTTCAAAAAAGAGCTCAAATTATATGGATGTCACTGCTTTGATTATATTCATCATGCATTCCTTGTAGTTTAAGTATTCCAGTAATTTAAGTATTCGATTAAAGACGGCGCTTTTGCCAGTTTCTGTACTAGATGAAATAGTACTATTAATTGTATGATTATGAAAAATAGTAATTATCCAATTTTCTTTGACATTCCTGTTCCTTATGGTGTAAGGTACCATGAACCTTTCACCGTCAATTTGACCAATTCCTCTTTTTTTTCATACGATGTGAAGGTGAATTGAGATTGAACCGCGCAAAAGACTAAAATTAAGACTAATGAAAATAAAAGTTACTGCTTAAAAAAGGCTGTCTACAATAGAAAAACCGATGGAATCCGATAAAATCTGAGTGTGCATGTGAAGGAATGACTATGATTCAGTGTGTGTTAGCGATAATTACGTGAAGAATGCGATCACTCAATTTCGTGCTATTGTGTTCAGTCCTGATTTTTAATTCCTTTTTATTTTTTTTAAAACTAAGTATCAATTGTTAATGATAAACTCGTAACATTTTGAACATTATTTACCATGAGTCACCGACTAGAGAAAGTAAAGTTTAGAACGCTGGTATTATTCTCCTTCAATACCGATGGACGCAACATTCAATACTTCAAGCTGACGCTATGATGAATGACATGTTGCAGGGCCGACATTCTGAAGGAGCTAGGCGAGGAGTCCGTGTTGCATTGGAATTCTGTAAATGATTTGAACTGGCCTCTTCAGACCAGACATCATTAAGTACAGCCATTTATCGATTTACACGGATCGATTTATCTCCATTGACAGCATTGGAAGAGTTTTTAATTCAAATTGATACAAGTCATACTGAAATAATTGATTACATCAAATTGGATCCAAATGATGACATATTTCAGTGCTCGTAAAATAAGGAAAATCATATTGCCAGAATATCTGATACCTGCTAAACCTGCTGGTCCTTGTGACTGGCTTACAAAGCAGCATTTGTTATTTGCAAAGATATTGATAACTGTTATTTCATTAGCTTGTCAGCCCTGCAAAAAGTTGATTTGAATTGTTCTGATTGGAATTTCCAGCTCAATGATTATGCTTTGACTCATCAAAAATGTTGATCATTGTCTTTACAATGAATTATTACACAGCTGCTTCCCTGAATGGCAAGAAACCAGTCACTAAATTTTCTTGTGGACTGAGAGAGATTCTGAGTGAAGGAATAAATTGCATTTTTTTCTCAGATATAAAATATTTTAGCAGACATATATTATGAAATGATTACTATGACGTGTTTACTATGTGATTACTGGACCTATAAGTTTTGTGTTTTCAATCCTCACCGCAACGTATTTAATGTAAATGTAATGTGAGCTTTGCGCCTCCTTTTGAATGTGTTTTTTGCCTATCCTTTGTAGCTAATTTATTACTTACAAATTAAAATTTTGTTGATTTTCTGTAGTAATCATTTCTTCTCTGAACTTTTTCCTTAAAATTTTCGTCACTGAATAAGGGTAGTTCTTGACTGGAGTGAATCCTGGTGAATTTAAGAGGACATAGTCTTCCACAATCGATTATTTAGGGAAAAAATCTCACTTGTTTTATACAAGATGTGAAAAATCCAATGTCATCATGCGTTTTGATATGATTCGGTGAAATCGTTACACTGGATAAACGTATTGCGTTTTGCAAAAAGGAACCAAGAGCATTCCAATGTCGCTAAGATTTTGCAAACAGTTTCACCTTGCAAATATTAATTGATCATCTAAACAAGTTTTATCTTTACTCCCAATAAACTAGAAATTCACAACGAGAATAACCGTGGTAAATTTAAATTTTTGCATGATTTCAGAAATTTTATTGCAAAGCATGTAATTTGCACAATCCTAGCAATATCCGAATGCTCTTGGTCCCTTTTTGCAAAATGCAATTCAAATGTTGCAGGAAAATCGTTTTCTTCAAGAGTATTTTGATGTCTGATTCCTAGATCGTCAAATTTTATAGATTTGTAAGAGTCATCACTATGACTCGATCAAATTTATCAAAAATTAAAGATGACCGCGTTTTACACGTTATGTCTACGCAAATCCAACAACATCCTTTGTACTGTTTTGAGGATTTGAGTAAAATCTATCTGAGTATTTTCTATTGATCTCGACACAAACTCAATTTATATAATCAAATCTGGACGGTAGCAGTCCGCAGACGAGAGATGAAGGTTACAGAGAATGAGCACTGAATCAGGTTACTAGTTTAACCTAAAAACACAGGACTACAATGTTTGCGGCTCGTATGACTAGTAATTTGCCAATAGGATCTGGAATCGAGAGGATCAATCACACTTGATGTTGCCACATTGAAAAGCGACTGGAAATACTTCATTTTCCACCGGGAATTGGCGAATAATTTCGCAGTCACGCAACTTTCGATGCCACGTCCGTCCTTGTTGCGTGCGACCACAAAGATAGAGAGGTAGCCTGCAATTAAATCACACAATTTTCGCTCGGGCCGTGGATAGACAGCTTTTTTTTTTTTTTTTCCCAGTCTTTGTGTCTTTTGCGTAGACAATTTTATTGGAATTTGTACGTCTAGGGCAGCTGTGCGAGGGATAGGAATCATGAGAGGGTGAGGATGGGGAGCTAAACAGAACCGCTTCAACCGAGATCGTTGCAAATTTTTGCCTAATCTCGACAGCTACCTTCTCCACGATTGCGACATAGTTACTTTGTTCCAATTGATTCTATTTCCATCCTCATATTGCGTAAGATTATGTCGTGGTCCCTGGCGTTTTCAAAAACCTTACGTATCCCGAAAGTAGGATCATAAGTAAAAAATAGGGGAAAAATACGGTTTTGGCAAAAAAAAAAAAAAGGAATAAATTGAGTGGTGAACTGACCTCGCTTGTTATCATGTAACTATCGCAGTCAAAGTGATTGCGTGATAACAAGTATTAGGTCAGGTTACCACGCAATTTTTGACAATTTTTTGTATTTTGAAGCTTAAAATGAGCCTGCGGTCGCTCAAATCGTCTTGTTCACTGAATTTTTTGTCCCTCCTCCCCTCACCAAATATTAGCTTTTTCATCCATATTCTTGATCTTTCTCGCTTTTAAAGTTACAGATTGGTAAGATTTCTATATTTAGCTCTAGAGGATCATTAGAGGGAACAGGTCGTGTTTCGAACAGTTTAGAATAACGCATGGTCGGTTTCCGTGATAATATTGCTGAAGTCAAAATCTATTTTTTGAAAAATCAAATATTTACAAACGCTCGTATGTGATTTTTAACCAAAATTTAGATATTTTATGGTTAGTTATCAATGTCCAACTAACTTGAATCCATGTTCAATAATTTCATACTATATTGGTCCTATTGAGTCAATAATTTCAATCATGTTGCTACATTAAATCAGTCATACTCAATGAACATTAAAGGAAATCTATATAGCATCACGTAATTCACCAAGATTCGACCTGTCACTCTTCATTTCTTACACTCATCACAGAGAAAACACTTTTGATCACAAGGACCGACTTTCAACTCAAATGGAACATTATAGTTTTTGGTTCAGGATTGATTCTTTTAGTCCTAAAAATTGTACCTCACCCAAGATGCGGAAGTATTTTGAGAGCATACGAGTCTTATTTTTAGTACAACTAACAAAAATGTCGGTTACGTAAACTAAAGCTCGGTTTGCATGACTGCAAACTTCTGTCACCTGAACTGAGAACTCGAGTGCTCCATATGAATCGAAGTTCCTTTCTCCGTGTAGCCCCGCCGATCGGCCCAGTCTGGTCGCCGACGCAATGGGAGGTGAGAGAACTTAATTTAACGATGGGAAAATCAAAGCTTCTCCCTTAGTCATTAGCCGCGTGAATTAAAAAAAAGTCACGGTGCAGCCTTATTTCAGTTCGAGACGCGGGGACGGTGTGAAGCTGAAACAGTCACATTATGACATGCTGCAATGGAACTGGAGCCCTAGCCGCGCTGTCGAAGAATTTCGTTGCTTCAAACTCTAATCCGGGGAGCAGTGCACTTCGTCGCCCGGCTAGCATAACGACGTAACTACAAATTGACATGAGCCCAAAAAGCATTGAATTGCACGGATATTAGGGTTCATTGTGGAGTGTATTTACGTGTTTTTGACGGGTTGGCACCGGGCGCGGGTGAGGGCGAGGCGAAAACAAACAAAAGCTAGGTAAACGGAGTCGTGGGATTAGCGGCTGAGCTTCAACTGGACGTACTTCTGCCAAACGGAACTATGTGCATTAAGACATGAGCCCTGGGACTCATAAGAATATGTGCATAACAGGGCTCACGTCATAGTGCACATAGTTCTGTTTGGTAGAAATACGTCTAACTTTGGTCTCCGTCGCCTGATGCAATGACACTTCCTGAGCTGCAAATCCGATTCCAATGCAGCGCCACACGGCGACAAAGCGCGCCAGGAATGTGAGCCTTGCGATACTTGGATCTCCTTTGGCTCGCAATCAGAGAGCCGGTGATTTTATCTTAATGTGCTTTTAAAATTATTATATCAGGCGACTGAAGAATCTGGGTGCCTAGCAATATTTTCGGCGGATGAAATACACCATCAGGAGTTAATCAACAGTTTGAAAAAGAACAAGTTGGTTTTTGCAATCGCTAGCGATAGCAATATTCGTCATGGGAACTTTTGCTTCTGGGATATGAAAATTTTAAGGTAGGTACAGTTCGTTTGTAGTATCTTCAGAATTGAAGGGGCTACGTAATTTTGTGTCGACATCTCTTTTTTAACATTTTTAATTTTTTTTCTTTGCATACAAGAAAGCTGTTATTTACCAATTATTTATTTTCGTTGGATTATGTATGGTTTTTGGAAGTTAACGCATTTAACTTTCAGTTTC